CGTGCACAACACTCTGTCAGAACCTGTCGTTCCTCTCATTCTTTAGTTTTGCCACCGCTCTGTTACGCTCGGGCCCATTTAATTTACATTAATTTACGTAATTTCTCCTCGTCGCGTATATTCTCTTCGTCTCTGCTCCAGCTTTTGAATTAAATTATTACCATATCAGTGGTGATTTCGAAAGTTTCATTTCTTAAGCTGTGCATGCTTGAGATCCTCCTGTGTCAATCAATCATCGCTGTGATACACTAGGTACGTATTGAAAATTAGTGGGTGATAGTTGATGAAAGATATGCATTATATGGAAAGTGTGCATTAAGTAAAGTACATATAGAGAATAATAGAGAATAACGAGGAATGATTGGAAAATTATAGGCTCAGAGGGGTATAGATCCATTGAGCTTGTGAATTGTATAGAATGAAGTGATTTAACACTAGAACTACTGAAGTTCTAATCTTCATTCTCTTTCTTTTCTGCAAAGAAAATTCTCTTTCTTTTCTTTTCTTCTTTTCTAAATTAAGTTTATTTATCTAAATTATATTTATTGAGAGAGAGAGAAAGAATTTATTGTTATAGATTTTAGTTGACATATGAAGTTATAGCATATAATTTCAAAAAACAATGTGATTCTGATTCATTTTGAACTGATTTGATAAATTACTGAAGAGTGGAATTACCTTCTTATTAATAACTTGCCTCTTTAGTTATTAAAAACATACTATATTGTCTTTTACTGATACATACATAATATTGTTTTTTACTGATTGTGAGATCAAAGTATAATTATACATCTGTTATTTTGTTTTTGTGATATATAATTGTAATTATAATATATTAATACATGAAAAGTATAAGATTGATTGTTTTAATATATGAAAGATATAAGATTTATTGTTTTAACGTTCTAAAAATAGATTTACAAATAACAAGTGTCTAATAATGAAAACGGTTTTTGTAAAACATAATTTTTTTATTGATATCGTCGATACTAATTTTATGGATAGGATGTCGATGTAAGATGTTTTTAGTAGATTCTTGAATGAACGATATTTTAACTGACAATTAAACAATTGGTCAAGATCGTTTAATAAAAATTGATACGATCGACTTATTTAATTGACTTTTTGTCGCATCAAATTAATTCAATAAATTCAGTGCTACTACATGATAATCTGATATAAGTTTAATTCGATGAATCACATTACAAGCATTAAGTAAAATTTAATATAATAAAAATCAGAATCAAAAGTGAGAAAAAAAAAGAATATCTGAATGTTTCAATGACGTAAATACTTTTGCCTTTTACACCTAATGCCTAAGTAAGAATCATAGTCGTTAAAGTGAAATTTACAATGATTGAGGATCAATGCTGCGGTCTTACATACAAGAAATTCCTTCTTGTTCTTGCATCACGACCAGAATGATTAAAAGTCGATATACACATCATAAAATAAAATAAAGAAATTATTTAATTGTCAATACAGATATTTGCAAGTGTGTGCCAGTGTTTCGCAAGCCTTGAAAAACAAATTTATAATAGATCGGATTATGCTGCAGGTGAAATTGTCAGTATTAATTCATCCATACTAATTGACAACCAGTAATGCGATCTGACATCGTTTTTCTGTCACAGTTAGAGTGACAAAAAACGTGAAACAATGACAAGCTGAATATAAAAATTTTCTGAAGATTATTTCTTCTTTCTAAAAGAAAAGAAAAAATATACTTTCAAGTGCAAAAAAAAATAAATTAATAAACATTAAGTGTAAAAAAAAAATAAATTAATAAAAAGAAATAAATTCGAATGAAATATGTATGGTTGTTAGAATAAATTTTTACTGGCGATTCTTTGGTGGAAAATAATGAAATAAGAATGAATAATAATAAGAGGAACATGTCACAAATACAGGCATATAAACACTTTATCAAAAATTGTAACAATGCTTGTATAATACATATAGTATGTTTAAAAATATCGTATGATTAAACATATAGATGCAATGCTAAGTAATATTATTATCAATATTGTTATTATTTTAGTGATGTGCTATCACCAGCATGATTTGTATGTATATTCAAAGGGCGAAAAGTTTTTTATCAAACGTGCAGCAGCAGCCAATTTAAAACGACTGCTTTTTTGTTATTTGATATTTTAAACTGTTACAACTTTGTGAGGAAAGAAACGTCCATCATGATCAAGAAGAATAAAGTTTCCTCTTTCAAACTTGCTGCAAGACTTTTTATTTTTTACCATTATTGAACTTTCAACGTCAGAGTTAGATAACGAAATGTGTCGTTTAACTCTACAAATTATACTCTATATATAAAAAAAAAAGATTCATTGTAAAAGAAAGATCTCCAATCCTTAACAGTGGATTTAGTTACCTAAAAGAAAATTTTAACTCTTCAAAAAGAATTTTCTATTAGCAAAGTATCTTTATTATATGATATGAAAGCACCTTTGGCAAAAAAAAAAGAAATCAGCAGTGTCAAAGCACGCTTTAAAATGAGCACAGCTAGACTGTTGTTTTTTTTTTTTTTCACAAAGTTACAACATTTTAAAATACCATCTACCAGTCGTGACTCTTGAACTCTTGGCCGCTGCTGTATCAATAATAAAATTTGTGTTAAATTATTATTAAGATATTATTATAAGTCTGATACGAAGAAAGATGATTAAATAAAAGTGATTATCTGTTGTCAAAAAAAAAAAAAAAAAAAAAAAGGGCAGGCAAGCAGAGGAAATGACAATGATGACCACAAATGAAAATTACATGAGAGAAAGTATATTTGGTCGACGGATGTTACTTATTTCTAGTCGTTATTCAGCAACATTGCGGAATGTACCGGGTAAAGTTCAATCATTGATTAGTTATTTCATAATTTACCGAGATTTTTCTCTTTATTATGATATAATCCATTTTACTTCACTTTGTAATGGGAATAAATTTCTCAACTCGTGTCTTGTTAAATATTCGAGATTTTCCAACCTCATGTCTAGCAAATCCAGTGAATTCGAAAACGAAAGATAGGGAATTCTTGCAACATGAATAATTCATTAACCGATTTTAAAGCAGTCTGTTATAATAGTTTGCTTTGCAAATTACCACATATTTCTGAACACGTGTCTGAACGTGTGTGTGTGTTGTGTTGTATTGTATTGTATTGTATTGTATTGTATTGTATTGCATCATATATATATATATATATATTGTATAATACAATATAATATACAATATTATATAATATATATAATATATATAATACAATATAATATACAATAT